CTGCTTTCAGTCTGGTGAAATTTATTGGCATGAAATCAAAAGTCCAATTAACTTCCAAAACAAAGAGCACAAAAAAAAAAAAACTAAATTAAGCTTGACGTAGGAATAAATACTGAGACACAAATAAAAGCTAAAACGGACAGGGAGAAGGATGGGAGATCTGCTGGCTGGGCCGGCAGACGGACACGGACTGTAGCCGCGGGTCTCCCGGCGCTGGCAGACGCACAAAGCGGAGCCGGCGGTCGGTGTCCGGTTGCAGGCGGAGAGACGGCACCCCGACGTGTCAGAGCCCCGTCTCCCGTTACGCCCCCCCCAGCCCCTTTGTAGCCCAGCGGAGACACATTCGAGCTCCGCGGTGCTTTTTTTGTATTTATTTTCACCTATCCCAGATCAAATTTATCTGGGGACCTCGGCGAGAAGGTAATCTGGCCGGGGAACGGCATCCCGGCGGCTCAGGTAAGGGCGCTGCTTCTGGGAGGGAAGGAGGGGGGGCACTATGGGACATGTGAGCGGGTCACAGCCTCGACGCCCAAACACCACAGCGTCACTGTAAGAAATCTCTGCTATCCCCCTACAGGGTATATGCTCGGCATATCAGTTGCACAGAGACTTTTCATTATTATGACCCCAGGGTGTTGAAAGCTTGTATTTCCCCAATAAGATATACTCGCTTTTTATTTTGAATCGTTGAATTACTTTCTTTTCCGTGACTGAGGTGACCCCACTACTGCACAGACATCCATCTCTCTCACCTATTCTGTTGCATGCCAGCCTGCATCATTCATGACAATAACTGTGAATATGTTACTACTTAAAAACAGCATCGGATGTCTAACTTTTATCTCCATGAAGGGTTACCTTTCATAAAATCACTGTGATGTCAATGAGTCAACCGGATTATTTACTTGAGTTACGTGATTAGTAGAACTTCTGCGTATAGAGATACATTTATGAGACTTTGAGGTCCGTCATCCATCCATCTTATAATCTCTAATCACGGTCATGCTCACCTGGAGCCCATCACAGGCAGCACAAGGCTGGGATACACCCTGGATGGGCTGCCAGACAATGATCAGGCTCATAAATACATTGCAATGATTTAGAGATGCTGGCTGACCTAACTGCATCTTTCTAACTACAGGAGGAAACCCACATACCCAGAGGAAGGGAAGAACATGCAAACTTCACACTCACACAAAGAGTAGAAGCCCAAACCTAGAGGTGTGAGACCACAGTGCTACCTGCTGAACCGTCATGCCACCCAGAAGACCTTAAGAGCTCCAACCAAGTGCTCCTGAAGGTTACCATGACAAAAAGTCTCATCTTGAGCAGATGATTCTGGTTTTATTTAAGAGAAACAGGAAGGAAACAAGATCCTTCCATCCTATGTGTCCTTTCGGCGAATGTGCGTTTTTAGCTGAGAGGTTCCCTTGAGGCCGCGTTATGCTGGTGGGCTAGCACCAAACGGAGAAGATCCTCAGCTTCACCTCCTAGAATCGCAGAGCACCTTGAAGGCGCCTGACACATCGGTAAGATATGCTGACCAAACCGGACGTCCGTCCATCTTCCACAACCACAAATAATTCACATAAGTCACAGAAAGCCAGGAGCCTATTCCTGACAGCCAAGGGCAGAAGGCAGGGGATGAACGCCCTGTACAAGATGCCAGTTAATGGGAAGAAAACAGGCAAAGTATGGACTCTGGTTCCCCGAGCAGAATGAGGTGGACCATCAGAGGAAAGAAGAAGAACTGGATGCATCTCACAGAAGAGGGGGAGAATTTCTTGGAGGGGGGGGGGGGGCGAGACACAAACTTCCCAACCAACAGTGTTACAAACTCTGTGCCACCAGCTAGAAACTGCCTGTCAGTATCAGCGGCACCAAATCCCTGTGAACAACAATGCATGCCTTTAATTTTTAGCAACATTTTAGGCAAAAAGAAATTCCACAGTCTTTAAAGGGCAGTAGCACAATGCAATCTGCATATGTAATGTAACCAAACTGGGTACATCTTTTTACTGACTGTAGTTAATCCCTTTGTTTAACAAACACGTGTTTCTGTCGCTTTAGAGATATGCGGGAAATCCATCGCATTCGGGAGCGAGCGTAAATGCATCCGGAGGCTGTATCACGGTACGCTGTGAGACAGCCATTCCAAATGGAGACGTTCTCTCAAAGTAATAAAACAAAGTACACAGACACCAAATATGTATCATAAATTTCTTAAATAATTTAATTGCAAAAAAGGGTCTTTAAAAATATTTCTACAAGAATGCATCTTTGTTTTTAACCGTTTTTTCGTCTTCACCATTAAATACATCTCATTCCTATCCAAAAGTAAACCAATTCCATTTGAACTGTTTTTCATTACTATACACACACTACGAGCTTCTTTCTCTGAACTGGTTCTGAAAGTGACTAAAAGTTGTACAGTTTATGTGTTTGCTTACAAAACTCATAGAAAATCAGTAACAGGGAAGATAGCTGTAAAATATTAAGCCAGACAGCAGGTTGGGTTAGGGTTAGGGTTAGGGTTAGGATGGGAGTTGGTAACATGGGAATGAAACATCAGGGTATGAACATTTCACAGCAATGAGAAGACAGTGGGAATCAAGACTGTGGTGAAGCTGGACGAGTAGGACAACAAATGATAACGACAGCATCTTCAGTAGACCTCATCCCCAAGTAAACATTCACAAGGGGCTGTGGACTATTATCGAAAGGATGACTGATCAGTAAAAAAAAATAACAGCGATGAAGGAATGGATGTTGATTCTGCGTCAAAAAACATTTTATGTGGTCTGATGAGGAAAAATAAAACTGAGGATATGTTTTCATGTCAACACCACTAACTAAACCCAAAGATCATTGACCACTTCATTGAAATTATGCTGCACTGTTTGTCAGAATATACCGATACCACAGTATCCTGTAGATTTTCTGAAGGCGCTCATCTTTCAATGCCGTTAAGGAGAACGTGTTTCTCGTTAATACCGTAGACTACAAAGGCGATCTTTAAAACGTTTTATTTTACAATCACAGTTAAGTGGATTACGATTCTCCCAAAGTCGATAAACATGTTTTCTAAACATTTCCTACGGTGATACTTATGTTATTAGCTCATTCAAGAAACAGGGATGTTTCATTTCAATTAAATAAAAAAAAATGCTTTTTAACTTCTGCTGAAATATAATCACAGCAATGGTAAGAACGTACAAGGAAGCTATATGTAGCTGGACTGAACCAGTGGACTGAATTATTATTACCATTGGGACTTTTATTCAATATTGTAGGGTTAGCATGGGAAATAAATACATCCTTTTGTTTAAAAAAGAAAGAGTATGCCGATACTCTGCATAATACCCAGAATGGTTCTCAGACCAGAGGAAGACGAGGGAGACTGCAGACTCTCAGATCAGAACTCATACATCAATACAACAGAAGCGTCTCGCTCAGTGACAGCCACCGTGGGGCGCTGCTATTAATGTGCCTGTGATTCCCAGTGACTGCTAGCACCCTCAGATCAGGACGGGTCATGTGACAGCCCCAACCGCCCCATCAGTGGTACGGTACCGCCGCTGTTACTAATCTCATCATACCGACTACGTAGTCCTGTGTCAAGGCAGAGCCCCCCCCCCCTCGACAGACTGTGCTGCACTAATCAGGCCAGGGGCAAAAAAGGGGGGGGGGGGGGTAGACAGCACCCTGCATTTAATATATGTTTATCAATAGAGCATCACTAAGACATAATGTTAAACATTAAAAAAATGAATTAATAATGAGACCACTTTCGATTACTAGTGAACAAAGGAAAACAGCAGAGAGACCCAGCAGCTGTTGCTTGGAAGGAAGAGGGGCTCAGCTTTGCATGACATTCAGATGCAGTGACTGTACACCCACCGGCACGGGGCTGTCCCTATGCTCGAGCCTCTCTTCGGAAGGGGGACAGGGGTCCTGAGCTGTCGAACTGTCAGAGGAAAGCTGCAGTCCGGAGGGGGGGGGGGAAAAAAAAAAAGGTCACATGGCATTAGCACGGAGCATTAGCACGGAGCATTAGCACGGAGCATTAGCACGGAGCATTAGCACGGAGCATTAGCACGGAGCATTAGCACTTGTCTGACATGAAGCCTGCCATTCCCCAATGATCTGCAGACATGAGCAGTGCCACCTTGTCTGTGCCCCTGAGCCTCTTGGGAGATTCNAGACAGGTAATGATATGGCGGCTCTGCCTTCTCCCGCCGAAAATGTATTCCTACGGGGGCCGCAGACGGCAGGGTGCGTAAATCACGCTGACAGGCTGGAGAGCAGGGGCTAAGCGACCTGACAACAGACTTGTGCGTCTGCGTGTGTATGTGGGGGAGGGGGGGTAACAGGCACCCACACCACGTAGCACTGCATCCCTGGGGGCCAACTCCTCCGCTTGGAGCCCTCCGCCCACGCAAACGCAGCTCTGAGAGCCTCACCGGGAAGAAGGTATGAAGAGGCAGCTGAGGAAGCAGTGTCACCGAGGAGCTGGGGGGGGAAAGGGGGGGGGGCCGCATCCCAGGGGTACATTTCCATATCGGGCGACGGAGTACGAGCGCAGTCAGTACGGCGTGAGCTTCCCGGCCGTGTGTCTGCACGCACCTGAAGGGGGTTCAGGTTACCAGTGCTCTGTGGAGAGCTGAGGCTGGGGGGGGGGGAGTCCTCACACCTGCTTCTCGAGCAGGTGGGGGGTACAACTGGCAGTTGCTCACATCAGCATGTCATAGGTGTGTCCACAACAAAACCGATTTTCATTTTTTACCTCCGACACACGTGTGCCCTGTAAACGCAGAATTAGCGATGCAAACGCGGCCGTCCCCCACTCACCAAACTGGTTTCGTGTCGAACATGACTGAGCTCCACCACCGCCCTCCTATAGCAAACCCCCCCCCCAAACCACGCCGGGACAGGCGATGCCCAGACATTGACGTCTGCCAATAAACAAGGAGGAAAAAAAAAACCTTTGAAAACAAGCAGAGGGATAAAATAGGAAGGTATATTATTGAAGAGAGACATAAGGTCCTTTTCTGCAGTCACGTTTGAATTTCTGAACAATGCATATATATTTTTTATTTTAGAACCAATAAAAATTGCAAAATTATCAATAGAATAACAGCTATGCTGTCTCAGAAATAAAGTCTTCTGATCACAACTGAGTTCAGTCCATGCGCTGTGTGTCTGCTGTGACACGCCACTGCGGATCAGTGTCTGTGTGCCACGCTCACGCACAGGCAAATATCAAACTGGAAAGTGTCTCCGTCAAGTCTTTCGCTGTGATCCTTTTGCCCCCTCCATCCATGTCGCGATGAAGTGTTCTTTGAGTCTCACAGAGCGATCAGCCTCTAAGCATCCCAATAAATGATTTTTAAAATTGGCTGACACACAAATGAATAGCCACAATTTAATTCCTTAAAAAAAAGTCAGGATGATTGCAAAACTGTTCCTAATTGACCCCAGACTTCACACTTGGTTTAGTCTGGAAATTCAACACTAAAGTCTCACGGTGGTTCCATGGATGTTTCTGTTCCTCCCCTTTCCAGTTCTGGAACGTTCCGGTCCCTTCTGGCCTCATCTCTCTCAGGCATGTGCATTTAAAATTAAACATCTTCAATATGAAGATCGGAAAATACAAAAAGAGACAGAATGTGGGAGAGATTGTCTATTACACTCTTTTCCGCTTTACACTCATTTAGACGCCGTGTCCTTTGTTTGTCTCGTCATCCACTCGTAGTAAAGTGCTCCCTTCTTCCCTGGTTTCAGCCATCGAGTGGAGAGATCGCGTGGGGACAGATGTCATAGGAGGAGTCCCAGAAATGAACGAAAGTCCAGCCAGAAAAGTAAAATAAAACAAAAGAAAATGCTTTAAAAAATCACACACGCATGCAAACACCATCCAGGAAGGTCTGCACAGGTAATGGGACTCTTTGAAATACAGAACAATCTTAATATCCGCTAGGTGTAAACGTAGCATAACGTGGAAAACAGGAAGTGGAGGAAACAAACAAAAAATAATGTCTGAGGCACTGCGAGTCAGTTTTCTGATTGGCAGAGACAGTCAGGCAGCTGGGGTTTACATTGGCTCACTCTGGTGAAGTCCCTCCCCCTTTTTCGCTCACACCTGGATGGGCAGTGTTTGGTTCATCTGTAGTCTCATGTCCTGAATGCTGCCCAGAATCTTTTTCTGATGGCCGGCCAACGTCACTCCTATCCGAAGCAAATCCCTGCGGAGGAAGAGGGAGGCGCGGGTCAAGCAGGCGACGGGAAGACGGACGATAAATATGACATGGTTACAGTACAACTGCAGCTAAGCTGGAGACTGCCCAGAGGAGACAGACCGAGCCTGAACGCAAACAGCTTAAAGGGCTGAATCGCGGCCAAGGTCACACTCCGTCCGACGGACATGCGGGTCTCCTGCTTAACGCACCTTAACACGCTCCCACACAGAAAACAGGTGGTAAGCGGAGGGAGAGATCAAAGGTATGGGGGGGCGGCAGGTGAAGAGAAATCAATAACCCCTCCCCCCCCCCCCCCCCCCCCCCCCCCCCCCCAGCCATTCCACACCTCCATGAAGCAGCTGCCACCGTTCACAGGGTGAATCCGATCAGGTCGACACCGGGCTGCTTCAGATCATGGGGGTGGGGGGGTGGCATCTAGGGAGGGCTCACCTGGCCGCCAGACCGTGGTGCAGTTAATTAGAAATGGGGGGGGGGGGGTCGATGATTCGGGACGACGTGGCACCTCTATGGAATGTCTTATGCGACCTGTTTGCTTAGTGCCACCCCTTGGGCTAACCAAGCCCCTGTTGTACAGGTTTACAGTGGATCAGCCCCCCCCACCCGACCCCCCCATGCTGTCACAGCCCCACGGGGGATCACTCCCGAGCCGTGTGGGGAATCACCATTAGCCGCCTCCGCACACTTTGCCCCCCCCCTGCCGCCACGCCCGCAAACCGCAGTTAATTGTGTCCCTCCCCTCCCCCCTCCAGTGGCCCTCTCATCACGCTGCCGGCGGACGCTGAAATGATAATGAACGGAGCCCATTACGCGGACGGCCAGGCATTAAGGACAGGAGGATTCTGCCGATTGGGCCGCTTGTCAGGGAGCCAAATTAAAACAAATTACCTGCCCCTCCATCTCCTGCACCCCCCCCCTCACCACCTCCACCGACTGGGCCCACATTTAAATGATTATTATTCTTATTCATTCATTTGATCCCGCATGTACGATCCATCTTCCTTCCCAGGCAATTTCCCGGCATTTCGGCCGCCGCGCTTTTCCCGTTCTGTCATGGCCGACATGAAACATGCTTGTATGGGGATCCTTGCAAAAAAAAAAATTTAAACTTGAGGGAGATGGAGGAGTGACTAAACAACTCTACCTCTAACCTCGAGCAGAGAAACAGCCCTGTAGGCCTCGGTGGGTGGGACTGCTGTGTGCTGTCAGTCAAAGACCGATTGCCTCTAATTGGTTTATTGTTTTGCACGTGGTTAATTTAGACAGTGACTGACAGCTCGCGATAGGTAGGATTATCACCCGTCTCACTTATTCTCATGGCTTAACCACCCACTTAAACCTGCACCCTTCCTAACAACGCCTATCCTCTGCTTAACTCTTCCTCTACACCCTTCTTCTGTAAACAGATGCCATATTTATGTTTATCTAGCAGCCACTTTTATCCAAAGCTACATGCATTTTATTTGAGGGGAAAAAAAACACTCTGGGATTTGAACCAGCAACCTTCGGATCAGAGGCACCGCGGCCTCACCCTCTGAGCTACACATCACCCCCTGACTCCTGCTTTCCCTGACTCGGGAGGCCCCGCCCACTCACTCGGAGGTCATCTGCGCCACCAGGTCGAAGGAGGCGAAGCCGGCGTTGAGGAAGTTGTCCCGGTAACGACTCATCTTTATTCCGTCCAGCCAATCGGCCACAGTGGAGAAGGCACTGTAGTCGGGGACGCAGCGACCGAGGAGGGGCTGGGAGGCCCTGCAGGGAGACAGACACAGAGAGAGGGGCGGTTAGGGAACCCCTCTGCGCCCCCTTCGGAAACCCCCCGCCACCTCTCCAGCCCTGCAGGGCCCCACGACTCCGCCTCCTCCTCCACTGTGAGCGAATGGCCTTGGGACGCAGGTCATATGCTCTCGTACCCAGAACCGGACGCTCTCCGTATTCATGACACGTCTGTCGTACATTCGTTGCGTGTCCTGTTCGTTCTTCCTTACTGTGTTAAGGTGGGTAAAAGCTCAACTTTAACAGTCGGGAGTGGACCTCCTGGTTTCTGTGGTTACGGTGGTTACCATGGTTACTGTGGTATGCATCTGGACAGGGTGGGGAGGGGCCATAGAGTCATATCCACTCGTCTGTTTGCTTTTGAAAAACTCAGATATAACCTTCTTCCTCTTCATTTTTTTCTCCCAAAATTGTTGAAGCCTGCTCATGACACCCGTGTTGCCTCGTGATGCATGCTGAGATTTGGATACTGCTGTAACATCAAATATACCAAAAATACAGTTAATTGGTAGATTTCAAATGGCAACTACATCTTTAGTCTTGCCTACAAAACACATTCTTGTTTATGAAAAAACATGGATATAATAATAATTTATTAATAAAGTTTTATGGCATTAAATTATTTGTAGATAATTTTCATGATGCTCCAAAGGTTCCCCGGACACGGGCCAGGTCGTCCCCCCCCGCGGTTCTGAGGTCCGTGACCATAGCGTCGCCGCTAACTGACGTATCCAAATCGCTCCGATAAAACACAGAATCCCTTTAGCCTTGAGTATCCCTTTGGATCGTCGTCTTACAGACGGAGTAATATGTAATTTCACACGTGGGGGGGGCCACGTACGGAAATACCCCCACTACACCAGAATATAATATCCAGTGGGTAAGCAAGCACGCTCGGATTGCCGTCCGGGAAAGCACGCTGACACGGGTAATCGGATACCATCCCGCTCTCCGTGGGGGCGTCACACGTCACATTCCAAGATGGGCCGCTAATTGCTACTCATTAAATCTTGGTAATTATTATTTAACAATTACGCAATTGTTTCGTGACATGGGTTTGGCTAAACACATAGGCATTCAATCCAGGGTGGTTCCCCAGGCAGTCTGGGATAGGCTCCAGGCCCCTCCACCACCCTGTACTGGATACAAGGTTGGAGAATGGATGTAGGCTGAGAGGTATGCCCTGCAATGACCTGGAGCCACACACGGGACAACCCTGTCATACACTCTGTGCTTCCTCACCATGACCTCATACAGGACATGACTACCAATGGGTATCAAAGCTTGGCTATCTTAGGGTGACGATACATAGGTCAACTTTTTGAGCAATGTTACTTTCCTACTCATAGTCAGCCACAAATTGGTATTTGAAAAACTGGGCAACTTTTCGTAATCATCCAGATCCAGATGAGTTGCCCTTCGTCTCACCTGGTTGACAGTTGCCTGGCAACATTGTGGAAAAAGTTGCCCCGTGTGTCGTTACAATTAGTGTGTCGATTGTATCGTAGCAGATGTTGCATCTTGTCCTTCTAAATACAAGTAGCATAGCCTAAGCTAACATTTCCTCTTCTATTCCACTGAAACATAAAGCTACTTCTGATTTAAATACTGCTACCTTTGTGTGAGAAATATTTGATGTACCATTCATTTGGAAAAATACTATGCACCAAATCTTCATGGAAAAAAATACAGAAAATGAAACAACTAAATGCATTCCAAACGAATCACTCAAATTAAATGCCAAATTGCCAAAGGCCCACATTTTTAGCTACATAAAACATAAATAGACGATTAAAATGTTTAGATTTTCTGCAGGGAAATATCACACCCGCTCCGACATCAGACTTGCAAGCCCAGCGTGGTATGCGATGGCGTACATTGAGACCACGGTGAAATATGCCTGGTAAACAGTGGACTGTGCTATCACATTCGGCGGAAAATGCAATTCCGCACCAGCCAGGAATATTAAGACGGTGTCCCAGAATTCAAATAGGCTCCCCATGCTGTCCAATTGGGGGCAGGGTATTGAGGTATATTTTTTTGATGGTGGTCAAAGGGGGAAGCAGGTTTGGGAACCATGGGGTGGGGGGGGGGGTGTATCTAACAGAACCTCGTCTCTGCCCTATTGATCCCTGTCATATTTAGTTGGCATCAGATTAATCAACAATTAAGAGCAGGAGAAGGTTAATAAGTCTATACAGTGGTGCCATTGTGAAGCTGGGTGCAGACTGATGGATATAAGAGATTTTTAATAAGCCTGCCTTAAGGGCTAAGGCACTCAGTCATTAACCTAACAGACAAGTTCCTTTAATGGCCCTTTGTTACCGGCCTGGCTCTCGCTCGCAGCCACTGCTTTCTCCGACTTCAGGGCAGCCTCCGCTAACAGCCCCAACATCCAGCCGCCAATGCCGTCGGCCTAATCCGGGGGTCAAAGGTCAGTCGGAGCTGCCTGTCACCTATCAGAGCACAAGGGGACGTTGTCCTCGGGGAGAGCCGAGTAACGCGGTGAGATACTCAGACCAGCTTCAGCGCAAAGCCAGCCGAAGATCATTCGGGGGCTTCCGGAGTCCCCTCTGGGGGACACGTAGGCCTACGGACTATGAGCGGAAAGAGGCATCCCGTAACGGGTACGTTGGAGGTAAGGTGTTAAAAAATGGATTAGCGTGTCAGGCAGCGTACGTTAGCTTTGATCTCTTTAGGAGAGGCACGCCTGAAGGGGTTTCCCAGGGATACCCCACCCTGCTTACCCTGAGTTTGTGCTGGTGACCACCTTGAGGCTGGCGGCGTTGCGGATCAGCTTGTCCAGGGTGTTGACGATCTGCGAGAACTTAGGCCTCAGGTTTCTCTCCTTGAGCCAGCAGTCTAGCATCAGCTGATGCAGGGCGGTGGGACAGTCCATGGGGGGCGGCAGGCGGTAATCCTGCTCCACGGCGTTGATCACCTGGAACGGAGACGGGGTGATGAAGTAGAGGTGAAGCTTAGCAATATAGACAATCCCTGATACAACACTTCATGGTGCCTGAATGCCCTTAATCTTGCACTTTCTGCCGACTGAATAGTAGTCTTATTAAGTTCTTGCTTTGTTTGGAAGACATTTTGCAGCTCCTGCTCCAACACCACTTGCCTGGGCATTCATTGGAAGATTAGCTTAGCCGCACTTTGCAGGTATGTCTGCGATGTACAATTTACCTCACTTTGGACAAAAGAGTCACCTACATAAAAGTAACATGTAACCTAAGAAGGACCCAAAGCTAGAGAGAGGTACGTTATACTCACGTCTTGGTTGCTCATGTCCCAATATGGCCGCTCTCCGTACGACATCACTTCCCACATGACGATGCCGTAGCTCCAGACGTCGCTGGCGGAGGTGAACTTCCTGTAGGCGATGGCCTCCGGGGCGGTCCAGCGGATGGGGATCTTGCCCCCCTTTGGGGAACACAGGAAAAAAAGAGGAATGTCAGGCAGGCGGTAATAATAAGACAGGAAGGTTGCGGAGCGTGGGGCAGAGACCCACCAGCGAGCTGGTGTACGTGGGATCCGTCGAGTCGTCCTCCAGGAAGCGGGACAGGCCAAAGTCGGACACCTTGCACACCAGGTTGCTGTTGACCAGGATATTCCTGGCTGCCAGGTCCCGGTGCACGTAGTTCATGTCCGAGAGGTACTTCATGCCAGCAGCGATGCCGCGCAGCATGCCCACCAGCTGGATCACCGTGAACTGCCCGTCGTTCATCTGTGGGGACCAGACAGACGTCAGCCTAGAGCTCAGCTCGAGACGGTCCCAAGTCGCCATTGCGCTCTGCTTAAAATTCCAATAAGGTAGTGATTCATAGCCAGATGACTCCTATCTAAATGCCAAGGAAGGACGGGACAGGCAATTTGCAGGCGCCTTAGAGCGTTCGAGGAAGGACCTTTCCTAATGAAATGTGAAGAAAGATTATTTATAAATAGATTACGAAGATTAGCTTGCTGTTTGCGCTCGTAGCTGAGTCGCGGCCGATCCCACATAGTAAACTCGCCATTGGTCAGCTACCCATGCGGATACGGCTCCTTTAAAGCTGCGAGAGACATGCAGGCATATCAACAGGCCGCCCATGTTAGGACCCTGACCGCGGCTCTCTGTGACCGCCGCATCTCTGGCACGTCCCCGCAAGACTAAGCAGCACAGATGTCCGAGGACGTGTGCAGGAGAGCGTGTCCTGCCACAAGTGTCAGAGGTGACAGGTACGCCCTTGAGTGTGGCGTGTAAGCAGGTCAAGCCCGCCGTCTCCCTTACTCTGAGGAAGGAGTCCAGGGCGCCATTCTCCATAAACTCTGTGACGATCATGACTGGCCGACTCTTGGTGACCACGCCCTCCAGGCGGATGATGTTGGGGTGGTCGAACTGGCCCATGATGCTGGCCTCACTCAGGAAGTCCCGCCTCTGCCGCTCCGTGTAGCCCACCTTCAGCGTCTTGATGGCAACGATGATCTCCCGCCGCCCCGGCTGTTTGAGGCGGCCACGGCAGACTTCGCCAAACTCTCCTAAGGCAGGATGGCAGACGGGCAGAGATGGGGGGTTGTGGGGGGGGGAGGGTGGAGGCAGACAGAGGGGAGAAGGGAGTGTTACTGGCTGGAACTGAGAAGGGAAACACGGACTGGGGTAAGAGGGGGAGGGGCAAGATGGTGAGTGTGGAGCAAAATTATGGGGGTGGGAAAAAACTGTGACAAAATGGCAGCAGGAGGCACCATAAGGTTGGGGAGGTTGGAGGGGGACAGGGAAGAGGGAAGGGGAAAACTGGGGGTGGGGGGCACTAAGGAGGTGGAGCGGAGGGTGTGGTAGGAGGAGGGAGGAGTTTGACGGCTGGGGGGGGTGTGTAGTCTAAATCAGGACATGTGCATGTGTGAGGACAGAGCGGGAAGGGGTGGGGGGGACATGACACACTTGTCACTCAAGGCAAAGCTGGGCGAAAACCAGGAGCAGCAGAGAGATGTTAGAAGCACTGCCGTGTAGCGGGGGCGGGAGGGGGGGGGCAAGCCACACGGGACACTCCGTTACGATGCAGGTCTCCGAGTCGGAAATGCCAAACCCTGGTTCCTGGGGGGCACACTTCTGTAACCTTTGGAAACTATCATAATTACCAGCCTAATTTTTAGGAGGGTCAGGAGGGGGGGCTGAAGGGGTGGTAACAACGTAGGGCCTGCAGACTAATTTAGGAGGGAGGGAAAGGTGATATTATTATTAAGGGATGGTCCAGCACTATCAAGACTTATCCGCCTGTAACGGGACTGATCCACCATTAACAGGACAGTCCAACGGTAATGGAACAGTCCACTATTAATGAGACAGTCCAACAGTAATGGAACAGTCCACTATTAATGAGACAGTCCACCACTTATGGAACAGTCCAACACTAATGAGACAGTGCAACATTAATGGAACAGTCCAACATTAATGGAACAGTCCAACATTAATGGAACAGTCCAACATTAATGGAACAGTCCAACATTAATGGAACAGTCCAACATTAATGGAATAGTCCAACATTAATGGAATAGTCCACCACTAGCAAAGTAGCTTCTAGATGGTTTAAAGAGATATGCACAATTCTGGCCCTGGGTCCACCTTCAGGAGGGGGAGGGTCAGGTCAGCTGACTTGTCAGGGGTGGGGGGTTGTGGGGGTAAGTGGGAAGCGAATCCTGAAGGTGTCCGTGCCCCCCCCGGGACCAGCATTGTGAGTAAAGCCGACAGGGGAACGATTCCGTGGTCGAAGTACCGCTTGGGCTGATGTCCTTTAAGGGTACGGCCTGGCAGTGCCTAGCTGGCGTCCCCCCGCTGCTGAGATGGCTGTGTCGGTTACCTGCCCCGATGACCTCCTCGATCTTCACGCAGGAGATGTCGATTTCTTTGGCAAACTCGCGGATGGCCTCGTTCGGGTCCTCGTAGGTGAAGGGGTCAATATACACCTTCATCCCAGGAGTTACTGGAAGCAAAGAGAAAGCGGACAGTGCCCTATCAGCCGCTACAAGCCGCCGTAAGCTCCTGTAACTGGTGAGATGCAGATCATGCTTACTGGTCACCAACAGGAGAACTAAACCTGTATCCATGACAGCAATGAATCTAAGTGGCTCCACTTACAGAAGGTACTTAACCGCTGATGTGATATGACATAACATGCTCTAATAATTACATTCAGCATTGTTGTCATGATAAACCATGCAAACACAAAGTTAGTGCCTGGTCAGCTGACTAGGGTTAGGGTTATAGGGTGTTTTGCAATATAAACATATACGCATATATGTTTTATAAATGGGAAACCTACTGTACTGTTGAAGTTTCTCTGTGTATTCCAGTTCCGATCCACTACGCTGTTTCCTGTGGGGGGGAAAAGCATAATGCAGCCTCCGTGAGCAGCTCTAGAGTCCTCGGTGCAAGCCCCCCCCCCCCCATTAAAGGCCCAGGACCTGGTACCGCGAGTCATACGTATGTTCGAGTTGTCGAGGAAGACTACAGAGCAAAAGGGTTCCGGAGCTCTCGCAGGAGCTCACGGTCTCAAGCGAGTCGAGGGTGAATCTCTGTCATCCATTAAAAAGGTAACGGAGGCTGTTTCTAGTCGGAGACTGTGACTTTCTGCCATTTATAGCCTCTGTTTGACAGTGTCATGTGAGCCTATGCTTTAGCTACTAGTCCCACTCATAACATTTCCCTTGTTTTACCATTTCTCATGTCAGCCTATTAATATGTATGTGTGTGTGTCCGTGTGTGTGTGTGTTTGTGTGTGTTCATGTCCGTATGTGTGTATCCATGTGTTTGTGTGTGTGTGTCCATGTGTGTGTGTGTTGGGAAGGAGGGTGTTGGAATTAGATGTTAATGTGGATCCTTTGTTGTCTAACCAGTAACCGGGACAATAATGCCCGCTAGTAATTTGCATCTCATTTCCAATTCAAATGCGGGATTCTGGGATATGCCAAAGCCTTCTGTCGCAGACATACTGAGATACTGAGACACAATGTATCGATGAAAGGCGAGGCAGAGGGGGCAGAGAGATTATTCAGGCTGGCCCGACAGGACCCGGCTTGCGGGAGAAGAGCGTGGGGAGGGCTGGGGGTCGTGCCTGGGAACGGGGCCAGACCCTCCCCTCCCCACCCCACGAGATTTTCTTAGGCGCACAGGATAGGCACGGTGACCACATGCATGCGTCTTTCATCCCGCCGGTCTTTGGGGGAGTGGGGAGTTTCTTTGGTGGGGGTGTTTTGTATTCCTACGGAGCGTTGATGACAGTTGCCATGGCGTGGTAATGCGCTCCGAAATTGTGCCGGAGAGTTCCGTGGGTTGATGTTAAACGGATTCACCAGCAGTGTCTACTGACTAACACACTATAGGAAGGTAATCCAGGACATACGGACTGATCCTGCCAATTTCCTGCTGCTAAATATATAATATGCATGTACAGCTGATAATGTAATGATGAGGTATTAGCCCCTAATGTGGCAGAACTGCAAAAAAAATGGCGATAAAGTGGATGGCCCACTCTGTGGCGTGTTTTGTCCAGTGCATTGTGGGAAGGTGCTTACTAAGCTGAAAATGGCTGGCAGCGCCAAAGAAGAAGCTGCCCAGGCAGCTAGCGAGTGATCGGGCAAAGGGGCACCCTCACCTCAGGCAGACGATGGCGATGACGACCAGGGCGATGACGAAGACCAGGCCTGCCGTCACCGAGCCCACGATAAGGGGAAGCTGCTCCTGCAGGGACTTCTCGGGGTCACCTGGGGTCACGGCCAATGGGGAGAGGGGATTAGGCCACGCCCATGTCATGTGACACACAACCTCTGCTGCCAGTGGCCACTTGTCCTCCCTCACTTCCAATGACTGCACAGAGCTTTAACTTGATTAGTGGTGCCAAACTGAATTCAAACGCTGTCATGTTTTTTTCGCAAAGAATTCATTAGACTAGATTGGATTGGATAAGATTAGATTAGAGGAAGTTCATTGGTTCACATGGCTGCCTCACACCTCCAGGATTAGGGGTTCGAATTACAGCTCTGCCCTGACCAAATGATCTCCAAGGGCTGTATGGGCATTCTGGGTAGTCCAGTTTCCTCCCACAGTCCTAAGACAAGCAGTCAAGTTAATGGGAGTTGAGGGAGGATGGATGGATGGGATTAGATTAGATTAGATTAGATTAGATTAGATTAGATTAGGTGCCACATGACAGTGGTTTGGTGGAATCTGCTTTCAGTTACAATTAAAGGCTCTGATATGTAGGCTGTGAGGTAAGCTCTGTGACGACCGAACATCCTGCTCGGGACGTCCCCTGCCTGACCCTGTGCTTCCTCACCGTGGCCCCATACTGGATATATGTTTATGGTGGATGGAGGGATGGATGGATGAGTGGGTTCATTCCTGAGATGTGTTTTTAGTGTAGCGTATAGCATATATGCAATGAGTCACATACAAAGGAGGGGCTACTACAGGGAGGGGGGATTGCGTACGCACTCTCCAGGTTGGTGCTGAAGTCCGCCGGGTTGCTGTAGCGCCCGTAGCCAGCCACGGTGCGTGCCCGCACCTGCACCACGTAGCCCGTCCCTGGCTTCAGCCCCTCCACCCGTGCGGAGCTGCGCTGGGCTGTCACCGTGTGGGCGATGGCCTCCTCGCGTCCCTGCAAGGCGATGGCCACGACAAGCCAGCAGTCACGTGACCTGGCAGAGCTGCAGGGGCAGTGCCCCCCCTGAAACACCCTCCCTGCCCCCCTACAAGGCTGCGTGGATCGGGCTCCTGCGTCACATGATCGGAAAGCGGGGAGTGCAGAGGAGTATAGGGGAAAGAATGAAGGACAAGCACAGGAGGAGGACTGAAGGAAGTGCAGAGGGGGTAGAGAGAAGGAAGTGTGTAGGAGGAGAACAGAAGGAGGCAAGTAGGGGGAGCAGCAGAGGAGCTGTGTAGGTGGGGAGTGGAGGAGGTATGAAGGTACAGAAGCAAAGGAAGTACATAGGGTGAGGAGTGGAGGAGGTGCCTAGGGGGAGGAGCGGAGGAGCTACGTAGGAGGAGGAGTGGAGCAGGTGTGTAAGGGGAGGAGCAGTGGATAAGGGGTAGTAGTGAAGGTGGTATATATGAAGAGCAGTTGAAGGAGGTACATGAGGGAGGAGCAGAGGAGGTGCACGGGGGAGGAGTGGAGAAGGCATGGGGAGAATAAAGCACCTTCACAAACCCCCTCCTGTCCAAAACATGGACGTGACCAGGAGTGACGTTACCCAGCAATGCTTTTATCATCTGCCCTCCTTCTCACCTTCTCATGGTATCTAATCTCATAATCCAAGATGATTCCGTTGGGCTTCTCTGGGGGGAGCCAGGACAGGCTCATGGTGCTCGCCGTCGCCCCCATCAGGTGGACAGTAGGTACTGGGGAAGGTGCTATGAGAGGGGAAACAACAGTTAGTACAGGAAGCATGTAAACATTACTGCACTGTTACTCTGTCAAGTAATGTTCTCAGAAGGAGTTTGTGGGAGCTAGAAAACATATACAAAATACATCCAGAACTTTCTTTACATCCCCTCAATCTATGTAACACACTTACCAACATTTTACAGTGAACTTCTCACCATCAGCTGAACACACACACACTACACTGTGCCGGAGCCCTCCCCGCCGACTCGACCAGCCTGCCGCATTGCTCCCCGTTCCCCCGTTCCCCCAGCCCCCCAGCCCTTGCTCCTCTCATTCTTCCCCCATTCAGGTCTTCCCATTCAGGCCATTCTCTCTCCTCCAGCGCTGTAGACTTCCCCTTTTCTTACGCGCTCTCCCTGCTCCATTTCTGCTCTCACCCCTTCACCCTTCCACCTCTTCATTTTCCCTTCCTGTCACACCGCCCCCCCCTTTTTCTTCCACTTACTTTGTTAAAAGATTTTTTAAGCCCTAAGGCTGATTCTTTGATCCCGGCCTTGTCCTTATTCCCCTAGCCTTTGCCGGGCTGCTAGGCCGCACGGCAGCTGCTCCTCCCCAAAGACAATGCTCCCTGGGCAGATTCCCTCATCACTTTAGCTCCAGGATTAAGGGGCCTCTTCCTGCTGAGACTGTGGGTAACCATGGCGTCCTATCGGCTTATACCCCCCGCCCACCCCGTATTTACTTTTGGTCTTAAAAGGTGAATGAATATTCAGAGCACCCCAAGAAAACTTGTGGTATAATCTGGTAGGGCAGACCCCCCTCCCCCCGGTCCTGTGACCGTGTACTCCTGTAGGATACGGCTTTGGGTCATGGGACGGTCCCTGTAACCCCACAACTGACCAATACACAATTATAGAGAATAGAGGCCTGGAAGGCCTGTCAGGGGGCATTCCAGAAGGATGGGGAGGGGGGCAATAGCAGACAGAGGAAGGATAATCCCACTGTTGTCTCAAGCATGGATCCCCTCCATCTCACGCACACAGGACCCCGTCGCGTTGGGGTTCCAGCCCCAGCATCATAAAAGAGGTTAACATCTTACGCCACATCTGCTGGGAAAAGGGGGCAGAGTGGGGGGTCCCGTCCAGGAGGTAAGATACGGCATCACTTTCCTAGATGCTGGAGGGGAGGCTCATTTGTCTAGGAAAATAGTGAGGATGAAGGCGGCTGTGGAGGGGCTCATGGAGGGAGAGGGTGTGGAGGGTGTGTGGGGGGCAGGGGGTACACACCGGCCTGGTTGGTGGTGATGTTGACGGTGGCGTAGTGCGGCGCTATGGGACTCTTGCTGGACACGCCGTTGACGGCCTGGATCTCGAAGCTATACTGCGTGTGGGCCTGTAGGTGGCGCACAGCCACGCGCCGCTGCGTCAGGCCCAGGCGCCGCGGGGTCATCTCCACGTTGTCGTCGCAGCGCTGGCACGCGCCGCGCTCTGGCGGGCACTTCTTGCAGATGACGTTGTAGAGCAGGTCGTCGCGGCCGCCCGACTCCCGCGGATCGCCCCACTCCAGCACCAGCGACGTCTCGTTCACGATGGAGATGACGTTCCGAGGAGATGAGGGCATGGCTGCGGGGGCGAAAGGCCCGTGAGGTCATGCTGTCCGAGTCCCCCCCAACTCCCCAGGGCATATCAGTATGAGACACGCCTACTACATCCATCCATCCATCCAACCAGTCATGTATCCATCCATCCAGACACGCTGATAACATAACTACACATCCTTTTCATGCATGAGGAAACCGGAGCCCCTGTACGAGACACAGAGACAGAACATGCAAATCCTCTGCACACAGAACTGGGCTGCATCCTGCGTCTCACACCCTCACCACGCCCCCTGGAGGGCACATCTATTTGTACCCCGGGCTGCATCTGACTGATTATCGGGGCTTATCAAGACCGAGTGGCAAATCGGGTCAGCTGGTGATGAACGCCAGTCTCAGGGATCCCTCTCATCTCCAGTTTCCTGATGCATCCCATGCTTACAGTTACAGCAGCAGGACCTCAAACCCAGTTTATTCCCTAAGCCCTGGGCCTCACAAACGGTCTTGAACACGTCCAGGTTCTCTGGTAACCTATCAGAACTGCTCAGAGAGACGCCTCCGGCCCACGCTTACAGAATTATTTGTTCACTGTTTTCCGAGGCCGACCGACTGTTACCCTTCAGTAATATTTACATCAGACTAAAATTCAGCCGAACCGTCGACCTACTGGGTTCACAGTGGCCATGGCCCGCAAGGACGCGCGTTCCATAACTTACTGGTGCAGGCGGAGTCGGGCGAGTCGGTGTCTGCGCGGTAGAAGCCGCTGCGGCACGGACAGATGCTGGAAGCCCCAGAGGTGGCCCGGCTGTTGGGGGGGCAGGGTGAGCAGAAGATGTCCCCCTGTTTGGACTTGAAGGTTCCCGGGCTGCAGGCTGAAGAGCAACGAGAGTGGAAGGTTCTGGTCAGGAATCTCTCCCATTCCTCCCATACCCCCGAGATCCAAATTTCGTTTACGAACAACACAACCAACATTCCGGGCCTAAGAACAGCGAACACAATCAGTTTTTCCAACATCGACTGGGCGGTTCCACGAAGAAAGGTGCCCGGTACACATTCAATACACTATTCTGCACATTTGCCATAATTAGGTTCCCTTTACGTCTGCTTACAAAAAGGTGTGAAACACACACCGGTACTGGAAAGGAAAACACACACCTAGCTGTATAGAGGGAGGTCTACATTGTCTGCAAGTCTTTAGAATATGTTCCTTTGTGAGGTAGGCGGTATCTCGGCAACAACAGTGATGTAACTACGGAGTTGTATTTTATCATCATATACATGAACTTATTTTTTCCTATTTACAAACAAGAGGCTTCCTGGCAGCCGACAGATCGATGTTTTCATTACAAAAGCGAAGCCTAAGATCACTGGACAGATACGGTCGAGGAAGTAAACTGTTTTCTTTTTAAATAAGGAAGGAGCCTAACAAACCACAGCCTCGCTCCTCTCATTCCCCGTCCTACAATTTCCTCGTCTTTTGAATCCCAGTGAAAAGTTTGACAGAAGGTGTGTGTGTTTGGTGGGGGCGGCGGTGGGCGGGGGGGGGCTTAAACCTGGCGTTCTCTATGTTTATTCAGATGTTTCTCGACACCCTACACGGAGCCTAATGAACTCACAGAACCTGGAACTGTGGGAAAAAAAAGCCAAAAACGAAGAGGTTACTAAACAGAGGACGGAAAAAACAATGGTGCCATCGATTAATATTTATGCGGCCGTCCTCGCTGCACTCTGCCTGAGAATTAATGAGTCCGCCGGCCTTCAGATTAAGGCAGAAAGCGGCTGCGCTGAGCCACGTCCCCCCAGCCCTTCGCCGGAGCGTGATTAGAGGGGGGTTTATCAGGCCCGTCGCTTGGGCTTTCACCTTGAGCCGCCAGGAGGAAACAAATGAGCTCCGGAGCATGTGCTGTAGTAGATATTTACCAGCGTCTGACCCCCCCGGCACCATCTCTCCTGAAAGTGCTCCTTTGGCACTGCAATAGTCAATGTTTATTCCTGCGACTACTTTGTCTTCCCCTCCCCCCCCATGTCCAAACCCCTGACCGCCTTGCATCTCCTAGCCCAGTGATTCTCCCAGCCCGGTTCTCGGGGACCCACAGACGGTCCATGTTTTTGCTCTCTCCCAGTTCCCTGTCAGACAGCCCACATTTTTTGCTCCCTCCCAGTTCCCTACTAGGACCTGCGGGTCCCCGAGGACCAAACTGGGAATCACTGTCCTAGCGTGTCTCATCTCTCCTCCACTAGGCCTGATGCCTCATTACATTTCCAGAATGTGCTTGATGTCGCACTTACGGTCATTGAATAGCATTATTAAGTTCTTGCTTTCTTTGGAAGATGTTGTGCAGGCCTTGTGCCTGGGCAGCCCAGCTGCACTTATGCCTAAGCGACTCCTCGATAGCATGTATGTGTGTAACGTGCTATTTGCCTCACTTTGGACACAAGCATCTGCAGCATATAAGTAAATGTAAATGTCAAAGGGTGCGCTATCGCCTCCTAGTGACACCTGAGAGGCTGAGCACCCGGGAGACCCCTTTTCCCCTCGGACCCGTGTTGCCACAGGCCCGGCTGGCCCGGCACCCCGCTAACGCAGAGGCGATGTCTGCTGCTTCCTCCGAAAGGGCTCAGAGCCTGAAGGACATTGTTATAAGTTGCTGAAATTCACAGTAAGTTCAAAACGAGTCATGCGACTCAGCAAACATCTCCAGCTGCTTCTGCGGCATCACGCGGGGGCCCGTCCGTCTGTGGTTAGCGGATATAAAATGTGGATATAAATGAAATGCATGTTCCTGGCGGGGCCTGTCTATATGGGCTCTGGGATGGGACCCCCATTGCTCACCTTGGCACTGGGTGTTCTTCATCGCAGGCTCGAACCCGGCCATGCAGGTGCAAGAGCCGATGGGGACCATCCACTCGCCATCGCCATTGCAGTAGAGCTTGATGGGGACGGACATCTCCACGGCGTTGGACACGCACACTCCGGGGGCGATCACCAACGACGTTGCCTCGGCCCCCGTGGCCGTTTCGGGGAACACGGCATAGTTGGCGATAGTGGTGGAGCACTTCTTGTAGAAGACGCGGACGGAGATGAGGGACATGCAGGCCCCCAGGTCCTGGAAGGCCAGGTAGAACCCGGCCTTGGAGAGTGGCCCAAAACTGCGGACTTTGGTGTTGACGCGGCCGGACTCGAGCATAGAGAAGCTCTCGTCGGGCGCAATGGTGTCCACCTTGACGTAAGGGTTCTCCATCCACGCCGGGCTGCTGTCGCTGGCTGTGTCGGCATCCGACTCGTAGTAGAAGAGGTTGAAGGTCTCCTTGCAGGAGCCCGGGATGTTGGGGATGCTGTTGCAGTCTCGCACGGTGAACTTGAGCTCCACGTAGACGCGCAGCACGTCCTTCCGGGGGATGAAGTCGCTACGCAGCCAGTTGTTCTGGTTCAGGTCACGCACGTTGCATACCTGATACGTCCGGATGGGGTTCATAGCGTCGTCGTAGCCGCTTACCTCCTCCCACTGTGGAAGGCAGAGAGAGGCCTGTTTTAGCTCAACATGTAATACATTCCACTAACAAAGCAAAGGTTGTGGGTTCGAATCCCTGGGAGGACATAAATTGTAGTCCTTCCTGATACATTAAGTAGTTGGATGTAGTTGATGGACAAATAAATAATTGGCAAGATGGATATACCATAAGGAGGCAGGGGAGATGTAAACATGGACCAGTAGGGTGTATAGAGGGGTGGGACCATGGGGAGACATTCCCCAGCTAAATTCTGATTGGTCCACAGAGTCCCCCCTCCCGTCACTCACCAATTCCAAACATACAATTGGCTAATAATAAGGTCGGCCCCTCAGTATGAATTATAGCCCGTCTTACGCTCCCCTAGATGTGCCCCTGCAGACCAGGATGCCGGCGTCTCCATTGGGCCTTTATCTGTTACACTGATGCCACGCAATCGAGCAATGCGCCCCAACGTCGGTGGTCGCCACGGCGACGGACCGGCATCTTAAACCACCATCCCTCCCGGTTTGTGGCGCAGCAGTGAAGAGGATGAAGGAGGGGTGTTTACCCCCCATCCAGCCGAGGGGGTCGCTGCGTCACTTCAAGACCAATTACATCCCATTCGGCGGCGAGACCCCCACCAGTAGTCGGCGAGAGAACAATAACACCCCCCCCCCTTTCCTCTATTATCACAGACAATTAAAAAGCAAAGCGTTGCCTTTTCCAGAATATTACGCAGAGGAAATATACGCGGTATATGCCCTTTCACTCGCATGCTCGCATGTCTGCATGCAATTACCCATAATCCCTCAGCATACTGGAGGCCCTTTCAACTGCACAGGTTGGAAGAGTTGAGAATTCCATTGTGTGTGTGTGTGTGAGCGTGTGTGTGTGTGTGTGTGTGTGAGCGCTCCATAACACTGTGACCCCCCCACCACCACCACCTATCTCCCGTAGAGGATGCCCCCCATGGTGTGTCTTCAGGCTAGTCTACCATTAAATGAGGCTTTCGGGATTTTGGCGCGGGCATCTGGGATCCACCTACGGGATCCACCTGGAGTCTTGGGGGATGATGGGTCCGGCTCATATGGAAGCCTGCCTTTTAAATGCTTTAATAGAGGAGGCGGCACTGGAAATATGACTTGCAATGATGAAGGATTGATGATCGCTGACAAGCACTGGTAAGTGTTGTTTCTTCACTGTGATGAACAGGCAGAGCAGCACGTAGATCCCAGCCTGTCTCACTGCACAGATCCCAGCCTGTCTCACTGCACAGATCACAGCCTGTCTCACTGCACAGATCCCTGACCATCACAGATCTCTGGCTTTCTCACCACGCAGATCCCCATCTGTCTCACTGCACAGATCCCAGTCTGTCTCACTGCACAGATCCCCGGCTCTCTCACCACGCAGATCCCCATCTGTCTCACTGCACAGATCCCAGCCTGTCGCACTGCACAGATCCCCGGCTCTCTCACCACGCACATCCCCACCCGTCTCACTGCACTGACCGCCAGCTGCCAAGTTTCCAGGGGCCGACACCAGATCCATTTAACTCACCTTTCCGAGCCACTTAAAAGTGGGCAGATGAAGTAGCCAGATGAGATTTGTGAGCTGGCTCTGTCAGAGTAATCCTGTGCACGCACTCCTGTCCCCCCCCCCCCACTGCACGTTTTCCACAATGCTCAAGGCTCCTGCGTTTAAACACCCTTTTCATTTCTCATTTGATCCTGCATGTCGTTGCAGTGGCAACTGCAGGGGTATACCAGAGAGGAACGCATCTATGCTCGCAGCTACCGGCCCCGGCTGAAGAGACCGGTACCGAGGGGCCCGTGACGGAGCCTAATTAGCACGATTAGCTTCAGGACGGCGTTCATTTCCAGCAGCCCATCTGTCCCAGGGAGATAAAGGCAGCTTCAGATGCGCCGGGGCAAGTCACGTCCCTACTAGTGGCTAGCAGTTAGCAGAGCTGCCTTATCTTAGCGCATCTCAGCGTCTCGAGTCCCAAGAAATGTCCGCCTGGCTGACAGGGAAGCGTGACTCGTGCCTGGGAACCAGTCTTGGACCTTTTCAGAACGCCACAAACTCAAAAAGCAGCGCATGGAGAACGATCAAGGGACGGGTATATCAAAGGTGTGTACTGGGGGTGGGGGGTGTCCGGCGGGCTGGCTGGGGGGGGGAGTACGAGGAAAAACAGGATGCCGAAAACCCGGGAGAGCAAAACGGCGCTCGACAAAGGACGACGCAGATGCTGAAAGTCATTAGAAATGGCACCTTCCAGAAACTTCCAGGCAAAGGAACAACAAAGTCAGGACCCCGGCAGTAATGAGGAAAGAGAGGCAGGTTAGGGGCGGAGCTGCAACCCCCTGAATGTGACATCTGTCAGGGTCCTTGGGCCGCCGTTTAGCCCCCCCCCGGGGTCCGGCTGGGTGGTGGATTACAGGGGGCCTTTCGTGGGCCAGAGGGGAGGTCAGGGCTGGGGCCGAGTACGAGCCATCATTTACCAGGGGAGAAAAACAGGCAGGATCCGCAACAGCTGGGCTAGGATGGGAGACCCGTTTGAGCGCCACCCGAAGGCCAAGGGGAGGTGGCACGGACTGGGATGCCATGAGAATGAGATCGTGTAGCTGGGACAACGCAGTGTGTACGGGGGCAAAAAGGGAGGGTAACAAACAGCGAATACGAAATGCAGCCTTGGGGTCGCAGCCCAGTGCAGCGTGAGAGGCAGCACGACTCGGGGCGCCGTATGGACACACACAGTCACTTTTGGAGGCAGAGAGACACACAGAGACACACATTAGGTATCTATCTTTGTGGGGACTCTCCATTCATTTCAATAGGCATAACCCGATTCCCAACAATGACAACCTAACCCTAACCCTAACCCTAACACTAACCCTAACCCTAACCCCAAACAAAATACAAGACTTTTGACATTTTTAGTTTTCGATTGCAGTCAGATTTTAGTGAAATTCAGTTTCCCCTTGTGAGAACTGAGAAAAATGTCCCCATAAGGTCAAAACACACACATACACACACACAGACAGACAGACACACAGATACACACACAGACACACACATACACCTACTCACCCCGCTTTCTGGATGCGCAGTCCAAGCCAGCTCCGTCGTAGCCCACTTGCTGTCCATCAGTGTTTCTGCAGAGTAACAAAAGCAGAAGATTTAATAACAAAGGATTTGTCAGGGAAGTAGGTGGCAGCACACGGGTGTCTGTGGAACCGAAGCTGTGCTCAGGGGGTGCGGGATGAAGGTCTCGCAGAGGGACACTTCACAGAAATCAGCTTTAATGCACCTCAGTATTCATGTACCTCTCCTCTTCGGCGAAGCGAGCAACACCTTTCCTAGACTGGACATTTACGTCCTACCAATCTGCATTTGTGTCTACCTCGTTCTGGAAACGTAGACTGCGGAGCCCGGAGTGCCGAGGGATCGCGTCCGGGGATCGGACAGGCTACGTGCGGTTAGGCGACCTGGACGTTTCTATTTGACAAAAAAACCACGGCACCGGGAAAAATACGGAGAAAAAGATCATCCGTTATTTCTACCCACGTCGGTGAGGTGGGACATGGATTTATTAAAAGCCCTTCTGTGTTATTACTGTCTGGGGTACACAGTGGGTGTCGGCCGGTTAGAGCGTCTCACATACTAGACACACGAGCAGCAGAATAACACTGTAGAATGAGGGAGGAGAAGCCCTTCCCTGAGACAGACCCGACTCCAGGCTATCTTCTCCGCTCCACCTTGCTGTTTCCCTCGCAGACCTGCCAGTGTGGGATGTTTCAGAGCTGCTAATTATGCCGGTCAGAGAGATGTCTTTAAGGACCCTCCACCCTTGTGAAAACGCAGACAGGAAGTCTGTCCTGATAGGCCCATGTCAGGAATGGAAAAATTGTACCAGGATTCTGGGTCTGATGCTAGAACGTTCCCATAGCTGGTCTGTACCCCTCACCCGCAGAACAAAGACCTTCCCTCACATTTCTCATAAAGCAGGGCGAACAGGGATACTGGGTTAAAAAGCACAGCAGCAAGAAACGGCTTTGCCGATTGGGTGGGGCACATTGTATGTAACACAAGCACCGATTGGTCAGAAGGGCTATTCACAGTGCTGTCACCTCCCACCGTACAATACAGAAAACTTTGTGAAGACAATTGTATAGTATCAAAGGAAGGGACTGAAAACCACAGTAAGTGGGCTTAAATAATAAGTAAATAGACAATGTTCAGCTGACTCTCTCTGTAGCCTCCCTGACACACACACACGCGCACCCGTTCGCACACACACACACACACACACACACACACACCAGCAGACTTAACTCGGGTGTGTGGAAAAACTGCAAACTCATAAGCAAGATAATCATCTTCAGTGTCCTTATGTTCACAAATTCTGTTCTGTGTAAGGTTTTTTTTTGGCAGCAGCCGGGGTAGTTGGGGGGGGGGGCAAAGCCTTCTTTGTTTCGGCTCTTTCTTACTATGCAGTCTTGAGCAGCTGAGACCCCCCCCCCCAACCCCCCAGTCCCACCACTAGGCCAAAGGCCCTCAGACACAAAAAGCAAGAATATAAAAGTACAGCGCTACAGGAAAATATAACAGGAGGCAGCATGTATATCGGTGCAGCAAAACTCCGTGTCCCTGTCCACTGCTGACCATTTTTTTTTCTTGCTCCCTTACTCACAAGAGGAGTTAAAAAAGAAGGGAAGAAAAAAGACGAGCAAACAGACACACCTGGGAATTGTGCTGGCTGTCTGTAGATCCGAACGCGAGGAAAAACCTGACTGGCGAGTTATGAAACATAATATGTAACTAAAAAGTTACTCTTCTGCTGCAGGTACAGATATTATTACTCCCGAGTACTTAAAGACACACGGGGCAGCTTCCATCTCATCTGAAAGTAACTGGGGCCTCTGACAGTACAGATTGCAGAGATCTGATGAGGAATTGATTGTCCTGCACCTTTGGCATGCTGGATGATTACGCATTCACTTAGTCCACAGGATACATTTTCAAGAAATGGAGTGAGTGAGTTCTGGAAATTTAACATAAGCTGTCCAGCGGATTACATGAGGACTGAGTGAGTTTCAGGTCCCGACACTGTAACATATGATGAGGGAGCCTGACTTTAGCGCTGAATGAATTCGGGAAATCGGCTCTTCAGTCACGGGAGAGAGGCCGCTGTCGGCCACGAGGATGCGATCCGTCGATAAGCAGCATGGCACTATCTCACCATCGCTTATCTGCCCCCCTCCCTCCTACATTCCTGCCCGCACTTTGATTGATATCAAGCTCACGCCATCAGCTCCATTTGCATTTTTCCTCCAAGTTTCCCGAATCATTCCCTGAGCAATCAGCTTGTCTGAACCGTGTTGTAGCAAAGGACACACACACACACGCACACACACACACGTGCCCACATCCTCAGGGCATGACATAACCAGGCTGGTACACAGTGGCCCCGGCGTCTGTTACACACCGACAGGTAGGAACACGTAAGGGTGCACGGACATGTCGAGCTGACACACGGGTTAGGAGATGATGCTCTCGTCTCTCAGTCATTCACAAGACCGCCCCCTGGGGGCACGGAGGACTCATAGCAGCTCTCTAAATGACAGACAGAGCTGCTGGCCCCTCCCAAACCTCAGACAGGTGTGGGATTAACAAGGATTGCCGTCTGCCTTCCGCGACACGGCCTCTTTTAACGCTAAAGCCACCCCCCCGGGGCGAGACATGCGGCAGAGAAGCCCGACGCCGGTAAATTGGCACTTACTCACGGCCCCCCCCCTCATTTACAATCGGCGCTGCAAGGAGGAGCTTCGTCAAGAATGACTGACACCCCATCGGGTCTTCAGGGTCGGGGGTGTCCGAGGGGCGAATAACTGCCCCCATTAGGGGAAAAGGAGCAGCGGATTTGCATAGATCTGCAACAGTCAGTCAGTCAAAAGAAAAAGGAGAAAGACAGAGAGACCCCCCCCTTTGAGTTTCTGCTCTTTTCTCCTCTCTTAATTGATTTCTCTCCTGCCTTTGTCTCCAGATCCTGCGTAGAGGCGTCCATGCACGGCTGCCTCACCCGCCCCTGCGCTCCCCCACCGGTCCCTGTGTCCAAACACTCCAGCACTGTTTAGCTATAAAACATGGAGGGGGTTATGGAGTGGTGATGGAGGCGAAGAAAGTGGCCCGTAAACTCATTAGGGCTATCAGGCCCGCGGCTTTGTTCGCCACCTTTTTACTGGCCCAGGGGGGCGGGCGGGGAGGGGGGGGGGCAAAGGAAAAAGAGAGAAAGGGAGGGGAGGAGGAGAGGGAAAAAAATGCGATTGGAATTTAAATAGACTGGGCAGTGGCTGAGTGCGGTGATTACAGCCAGTTTGAGTGGAACCGTCACCAGTAATTGGTGATAGGCCTGGTGTAGGCGGCAGCCCCCCCCCCCTGAGGAATTTCCAGAGAGGACCCCCCCCGCCGCTCCCTCGCCGCCGCTGCTGTGCACGCTGCTGTCACTCAGCCCACAATAGCAGGCCCTGTGGCTCTGTGTGTGTGTGTGAGTGTGTGTGTGTGTGTGTGTGTGTGACTGTGTGTGTGTGTGAGTGTGTGTGTGTGTGTGTGTGTGCGCGCGCTAATAGGGCAGCCTGTCAGCGGCCGAAGACAGGGAGGACATGGCCTCGCCTTCCTCCGGACTGGAACGGGAACTGGACTGGAACTGGATTAGCTTCTCGGAGCCCACAGGCGAGCCGATTGGCTGGCGGGGCAGTCGAGCACGGAGCTTTACGGACCCCTGACTCCCTTAACACTCCGCCCTCCGTGCATCACAGGGATTAACTCTAAGCCTCGAACCCAAAGCAGGTTTATGGGTCCCTGCCACACCATTAGAATTTCGGGGACGTACCATTTCACCTCAGCCCCCCACCAGTGTAGGGGTGGGTCTTCCCAAGAAGCAGGTCCCTCACCCTGCAGACCTTAAGGAGGATGAAAGGGGAGCGGGAACAAAGAGGCTGCTTCACCGCATTGTTTCCCAGGGTGTGTGTCTGGGGCGTGCAGCCCGGTCCGGATCAGCGGCGAACTGCGGATGCGGCACCGTGGGACGGCCCTAATTACAGAGCGGACAACACAGGGGGCCCCGCAGGCCCGGCACCCCCACAAACAGGTGTGTGCGCACGTCAGCGCTCGCTCCATTCCCACACGCCGCCACTCCCAAGTGGATGGTCACTCAATAAGACTTTTAATGCATATTAGTAACAAAAGGAGGAGTTTGTGAAAGAACGCAGTGAGGCTGTCCGGCGTATTGTCGCAATACACAACGTGCAACGGTGATGCGACGGATGCTATCTCAGAAGCTTCCTTTTTACCCCCCCCCGAGATAAACAGACGGGCCCTTTGTCTCACGTTTACCGGCAGACGCAGTTTACGGGGCTTCTGGAACATTCCGCAGACATCAGATTCAGTCGTGGGCCGAGCGGCACGCCAGCACGTGTGCCCGGCACGTCAGGGCCTCCCAGCCGGACTCTCGAGGCCCGGGGGGGGGGGGCAGACCCCCCACGTCACCCGCAGCAAGCTGTTGGGAATTGCCGGTGTTGTTGTTGCATTTTTTATTCTCTGCCCCCCCCCCCCGGCCGCCTCCACACTGCTAAGCAACAACGGCAAGCTGTCCCATGGCCCTCGTCTCGCCTTTGTGCGAAGGTTTTTTTTTTTTGTATCTTCATGTCTGTGCTTGCTCCCCCCCCCATCTCAGAACGTAGGCCTCCTGCGTGTGAGTCACCAGCCCAACTTCAGCAGCACCCTGACAATGCAGGTATTACCGTCCAAAAACTCGGGCGCAGTGGCACATAGCGGGACGTAAGAAGCCGCCGCTGACGCCGGGGTCGATGTTCTCCCGGGGCGCGCGGAGACTCAAACCCCCCTCCTCCGAGATCCTTTCCACACATGTCACAAGTCTGCCCCCACCCCAAAAACTGTTTCCCCCCTTTTCTGCCTGTGTATTTACACCGAGAAAAACAAGATGGCGAGAATCGCGGCCAGGCTTTAAAGGCGAGGACGGCACCTAGAACACAAAACCACCTCACGCAGAAAATCTAGGCCTGTCTGCTCACAAATATCTGGGTTCCCTGACTCTCCTCTCCCACCTTCTCCTTACCTGCTGCATCATAATCTA